TCTCCTGGCTGGAACAGAGTTAGGAAAGCACAGCGTCGTGGAAGGAGGGTGCCATCCGTGTACAGATGTAGAAAGAGTCTGCACAGTCGCTCTGAAATAGAACGGCTCAGTGGAACACTGCAGGCAGCCAAGAAGAGCTGAGAGTGAGGCATTCTCAGCTTTGCAACATTTGCCAGATGCCCAAGGGGAGAAGGCGTGGAGGTCTGCCTCTGCACCCTAATGGACGGGACAGTGGGGCAGGGTTAGGAGTAAGTAGCCACCTGTGCAGAGGCAAAGCCCAAGTACCACTGGTCCTTCCACACTCCCTAACCATGGTCAAGTCCTTTTAGCTTAAGCAACAGCACCATGGTCCCAAATAGGATGGGCCTCGTTGGTGTAAATTTGGCAGGAACTCTCCTTGCCTGGCTTACTAGAAATGGGTAACCCTAATAACTATATACCCTGCCCCAGAAAATATTTCTGGTGCCCTGTCATTAGCACAATAAGATTGAAAAGAATGTCTACTCCTGCCCTGTGTTTGCCTGACAGTGTTCATTGCCCTCTGTGTTTGCCATATATAGGTGAAGCGAGTATTTTCACAGGGCTTAATGGCTGGGAAGAAGGTGGATTAATCCATCTATGTCAACCCATGGCCATGGCCTAGCCAACATGCCTTTTAGATGACGTGGATGAAGATACAAACACACCAACCCTGTTCCAAGATCTATGCTTGGGAGATATTACTCATTAGTAGATAATAGGATTGTATTTGAAAAGTCAGCTGGGACGTTGGGTCAAAAACATCTCGATAAAGTTTAACCAGATAAAATTTATGTTTAAAAATAATTTAGTTTCACAACTACAGATGGTATCTGTAGTCTTCATTGTAATTGAAGTTAAATAAATTGGGTATTGCAGTTGACTGTAAGCTTAATGTAGGCACAAGCAAGGTGCAACCACTTTTTTTAAAAAAGGCAACATTAGGTCATGAGAGCAAAGTGGAAATGGTCACAGAGAGGAATGCTCCCCGTCTTTGGGTTGCTTTAGGCTACACTGACTCTTGGTTCCAAGTCCCACCTCTTCTCCAGGATTTTAGTAAACTAGAGAAAATCCAGAAGAGAAGAATTAGAGCCAAAAAAAACATGGACTCCGTGCCAGAAGAGACTGGTGTAAAGCTTGGGGTATCTAGCCCCCAAGCCAACAGCATGAGATCTGACTGTGTTTGTCTTCTGGAGTGAGTGGACACCATCGGCTGACCCGGAGGGCAAAGCTAGAACAAATGGGGAGAAGAAGACATGGGGAGGGTCACTCTACTGAAGAATATTCTAACAGTAGCAACTATCCAGTGAGGGAATATGCCACCGCAAGGAGCACGGTGCTCCTTGGCTTGACATTTAGAAGCTGAATGGAAACATGCAGGGTCTGAACAGTCCCGGATATTGTGGAGAGGATGTCTGCCCTAGAGTCCACAAGCTCCGCCCACTGGCATTCTGTGCTGCATTAGGTATTTGTGAAGTGTGTCTTGCCGCATTTCATTTAGTGGTTAATAATCAAGTTGGGGATAAGGCGAATAGATTGGATGGAGGGAGTTTGCTGAAATTGGAGGAGAGGAATCCAGAAGATTCCTGTTAGACTCTGCCTCGGGGCGGCAAAGCCAGAGGACACGCTGGAAGTGAGGGAAACTGTCACAAAGTGGAACGGCTGCCCTTCGTATGTTAGCCTTCTCTGTCCTGCCCCGCCCCGCCCCTCCTCCTCTCCCTGTCTCTGTGTCATTCCGTGTCATTTGCTGCTGCTGCAGCTGAGCCCTGGGCAGCTCTGCTCTGTCCCCAAAATGCCTGAAAGGAGGTCACCGATCGGAGGACGTAGGCACCCGTCGGCGCAGAAAGGCTGAGCACAGCCAAGCGTGGCCACATCCGTGGGGCACCCTGGCCCTGGCCTGTCCTGGTTCCCCGTGGGGCTTTATTGATAGGAAAAAAGATGATAAAACCATTTGCCACTTACCCAGTGCCGCTCGATTCCAGGTGAACGAGCTGACACCGGAATCACCTCGGCTAGTCAGGCGCAGAGCACGCACCCAGAGGCGTCAGACCCGAGGAGGTCTGCCCTCCCTTTCTTCCCTCCTCCTGGCCCTGCCTGGGAGACTCTTCTTCACTCAGCTCCCAGCAAGGGGAGGCAGGGCTTTCATGTCACATTCTTTTCAGCTGTCCTAAGAACCAGCCCGACTGCAGGTGACACTCCCGCATCGCTCAGGCTTCACCAGGGCTGCTTTCAGCTCATGGTGGGATTGTATAATTATGGTGATTACAGCTTATGGCTTTTTCCTCCCTTCGTCTTTTGCTTTCAAATTCATTGAGGTCTCTCATTAAACATGGCGATGCTGGTAGAGTCAGCAAAGTTTTAATAAGACATGTTTTAAAGCCAAAGAAAGCCCAGTCAGAGTTGATGGATTCTGTGTTCTCTCAGACACTTATTTAAAACCCTGTGAGGTGAGGGTGATCCCTGGATCTAAGGGAGGGGGGAGAAGAAGACATAGCATCTTGGGAGTACCTGTATGTATCTTCTGGTTTAGAGAATCATCCTGCACTGTGCCCCTGGCCTTTCTCTCTTGTATCAGAACATGGAGCATTCCGCTCCCACACCTCATAGGAACAGAGGGAGTGACAACCAGTGACAGAAAGCCTGACTTTGATGTCATAGCAGATTACACTAGGAAATGGTGATGAAGCATCTAATACAAAACTTGATCTAACCTTATAATCTACAGCAAAAGTAATAGGTGTATTCTGTTCTGGATGAATCTAGAAGGTTCCAGAGAATACATAATTCTAAATATGTAAAGAATTCAAGCGTTAGCATCTATGGTGATCATGAGCCGGTGGTCATATCCTTGATGGAGGTCTCCATGGTAATGATATGCCTTCAGACCCCTCTATTTCCTAACCCTCAATCATAGCTTGCTTAAATAATTCCTAGGTCTGTAGGACATCATGAAAAGGACCACCAAGAAGGAGAGTGGGTTAAGTGGTTGCCACCAGAGCCCCCGACCTGCCCTTTACCCCTCAGGGGCTGCAAAGGTATCTGCATGGTGAGGAGTACCTTGCTTCAACAGCAGTATGTTTTTGAGAGTTCCTTGACTGCCCTCATGATTGGTGGCAGCCAGACTGCTCCTTAGCCTGGTGGTAGCCGGTTATCTGCCACCTGTGTCACTCAAGAGAAAGAGCCTGAGTGACAGCTGAGCCACAGCAACCATCCAGAGTCAGAAGTCCGAAATCTGGCTGAGGTATCTCCCCCGGCTGCATTCACATCATGGCGGAGGTGATCTGCTTACTTGCCCCTGATAACAATCTCCCTTTGTACCCACGGAAATGCAGGGAAGTAAGCAACGTCAGAGACAGGCAATGGGATCCCTGTATGTCCACATGATATTAGTACGAGACCCTGGGCAAGCCACTCACATGCCCAATGGGTACAACAAAGCCTACTGCACAGAGCAGATGTTGGAACTAAACAAGGGCGTGACAGCCGTAGCTGCCACTCTTGGAAGCTCGTAGTGTCACACCGTGTCATGCTGGGCTTGGCCTGAGATGGGCTTTAATTCTACTCCAGCTTACCACTAAGTTGGATGACATGAGCAGCCCAGTTTCCTTGTCCAAAAAAGGGTCATACAAATAAATGGTCAAATGCGAAAAAGACATAGTGTGCTCAACATGCTCTTTGCAGTGTATGTGCTCAATAAGTATAGCTCTGCATATTATTTTCACCATTATAACGTTATTTGCAACCCATACGTAGCACTCCACTTATTATCTTAATTTCCAACAATATTCTTCAAGGTAGGTATCACTGTATTTATTTTTGCAGTTGAGGGTGGGTAAGAGTATACCTCCTATGACATTATGTCCGAAGTGCATTTATTACAATGAGTAGCATGGTAACTACTCAGTAATGGTAGCCATTACTGCTGCCCCATTTTAAAGTCAACTCCGAGAGCTGGTTTCCCTGCTTTCCCAGGGAATGGAGGGGCTGTGGTGCCCAGCGGGCCAGCGTCTGCCCTTTCCTCAATTTCTCATGTTCCCTTAGCACTTCCCAGGAAGCCCAGGCAGCTGTAGATCTTGTCAGCCTGGAAGATGGAAAGAGCCGCAGGTGAACTGTTGCAATATTTCCAGGACCTGGCATTTGCCCTCTGCTGAGATGCAGGATGCTAAAATGCCTCGTGCTTCCGGGCACAGACCAGAATGGTTCTATCCATGATAAGAATATGAAATCCAGTCCCTGAGGTGGGCCCCTGCATGACAGCCCTATTCCCGGAACACTCGCCTCTCAGTTGCCTGCCTGCCTGCCTGGAGCCTCCCTGAGTACTACAACCTCCCCACGTCCAGTTGTTCCATCTGCCAGATAAATAGAGGTTTCTAATTTTTAACCACTTATTACACAGTGAGGTTTGTGGAAGAGTCAGAAGCAAGTGGCAGGGGATGCTTTGAAATCTCTTGATAAACCAACCCCTGGGGTATGTGCTCCTACTGCTTCTAACACTGATAGAAACAGAAGCAGACGAGCTATTTCCACTGACATGAGTGGGCTTTTTTTGGGGGAGAATTCTGCTTTTATGTATGCCTTTTAAGGCAAATGCTGTAAGTTTGCAGTATTTGTCAAAGATTGGCATCGTAGGAGCTGAGATAAAACTCTACAGCTAATCACGTAGCTGCTTACGTGCCTTGCATGAGATGCTATGGGAGTGCCTGTAATGTGAATGTGCACACAAGTGTGTGCACGGGTGTACACAGATGTGCACAAGTGTATACACAGGTGCCCGCACTGCCTGCCTGATCCACGCCTCAATGTCTGGTGTATGGCGGGCGTGTGACCATACACTGCAGACTTGCATGTGCGCCTGTGCATGGAGTGCTTGTCCGCTGCGGCTGTGTGTGTCTGAGCAGGGGCTCCTCTAGAGCCACGGGTCTTCACGGTTTCAGCTGGATAAGTTATTCTTCACTTCCCTTCCCCAAAACACAATTGCCTAGTGCTGCTGGCGCAGAGTCAGAATGGCCGCTGCATTTCACCCCCGAGGTGGCTTCCTTCCAGCAGTGGGTGAGTGACCCCGGCGTCCGCACACTCTCTAACCTTGGGGATCCTTCTGCACAGACAGTGCTCCAAAATCCAGCAGAGGTGACCTGTCTCTCTGTGGCCTCCACTTTGCCCACTTCTCTTGTTCTCACATCCAAGTTTCACGGACAGTCAGCGGCGACCATTTATTGGTGCTCCCATTTTTCCTGGCCGTTTTTTGAATTCAGTTTTTCCTTCTTAAGAAACAAGGAGCCCAGGGGTCCAGAAGCGAGGCTGAGATGAGGCCCTTGTCCTAGAGGCAGTGCACAAACATCCTCGGATATTGATCCTATAGCTCACTTCTCCAAGTGCTTTTGCCCTGGCAGAACACAGAAATGCCCACTTCCTTTGGAGATATTTTAAAACCCAATAGTAGAAGTCAGCTTCACCTCCCAGCTAAGGCTTCCATAACCCTTGCTCTGTGGGCACAGAGCCAAGTCCTGCAGGAAACACAAAAATCTCACATTTCTACACACTAGACCACCAGGAGAGAGAGAAGCTGGGAAACAGCCCATCCACTGTCCGCAGAGACCAAAAACTTGTCAACAACATGTGGAAAGGGTCTGTAGGGAGGAGGGAAGTGAGAAGATTCTCCATGGCTAGCAATTCCAACAACCCAAGTTTTTGTTCCAGAGCCTCTTGAAAATGCTACTTAGCCTATTTCTGGCTGTATTCTCTCAGGTTAGGAGTACACATCTGATAAATGCCTGCTGACAGTATTCGTGGTGGTAGGCAGGGAAGAGAAATGAGTGTCCTTCTTTGCATAAGCATCCAAATGGACATGGACGTTCACTAAAGTTGTATGCTTTTTTTTGGAGAGGGGGTCAGCAAGTTGACTGCCTGGGCCTTCTAGGCTCTGACCTTGGCAGGTAGCTACACAAGTACTTGTTTGCAAGAGCTAAAAAGTATCATTAGGAGAATGCAGTTAGAGTCCGCATAGTTCTGAGGAAAATTGCATGCTGCCAAGCTAGTGACTTCCTTTGGCTACCTTATCCACAGTATCAAATTACTAAATTTTAGCCACATACTCCCCTAGAGTCATAGTCAAGGTTGCTTGAACTTCCCAGTTGGAAAAAAGTAGCATCAGGTTGTTGCCAATAGCAACATAGTCGCGTCCCTGTTTCCTTGAGTCTTTTGACCTTTGCCTAATTTGGAATGAACCAGGGCTTAGATATCAAAGTACTTTTGGGGCGGAGGAAGAGAGAGGAAGCAGCAGGCATTGCCGGGGCCACAGGCAAGCGTGCCACTCAAGGACTTTACAAGCACAGTGCTCCCCTCCACTCCACTCCTAAGGCTACAGGGGTTTCCTCCAAGCTGAGTGTAGAAAGGACTGTTTGGTCAGTACAAGAGGAAGGACAGAAAAGCCAGCACAAAAGGAGGCATTTCCACTGCAGGGGATGCAGAGAGCAGAGAAAATGGAAATGCACAGCTTGGAAAGGAGGCCAGGGAGCCTGTGCCTGGGCATTCTGCCACCAGTGTAGAGCTCAGCTGCTGAGCTCTTGTCACTCCCAGCATTCCTGCCTCGTTCCAGATTTGTCCCTGCACAGCTGGAGGGACTATGAAGGAAGGTCTCCCATCACTCACCCAGACCACCAGGCGGAAGTTGGCCTCTGTACCTGACAGCCTTAATGAGGGGCAGGAGCCAGAGGCCAGGAACACCGCCCAGAGAGGCCTTCCCAGATTAGGCACTTGGGCTAGAATGATTTGAAGTTGGGTTGGTTCCAACTGAAGTAAGGCCACTGTGCCTGGCCTACCTTAGAAAGGCAAAAACACCTGCTTCTGGGATAGTCACTGAAGAGATTCCAGAGGTGTCGGCACTGGTAACACGGGGCCATGAACAGAATACTTGCTACAAATCTGTATGCACCAAGCAATAGTGACCTGCATCCCAGCTCAGTACAGTAGACTAAAGCTCCCTTTGCCCATCCTGTCTGGCAGAAAGGGGCTCCTCTCAGGTCACAGGATTTCCAAATGTGATGAGCCACTGAGCTGAGCAGAGAAGCTACTGCCTGAGATAGCCTCAAGCAGAGCCCAACAGCTGAAGGTTCCTGCTCGGGAGGTTAAGAAAATCGCCCTGCAGCACTCAAAGAGCTGGTGCAGTACAGGTGGGCACAGACGAGTCCATGGTCCTTGGGCATTTCCATCTGCTGCGTTCCTGGAGAGTCAGGGCCATATGCAGAGCAGATGTACACCTCAGGAAGGCTGACCACCTTGGTTCTGCCACTGGCTAGCTGTGTGCTCTCAAGGCAAGTTACTCAAGGCCCATTTGAGTCTGTTTCCTCATCCATTTAGCATGGTTACAGAAATATCTACCCTAGCAAGGATGCTGTGGATGTTACTATGAATGTTTGTCAAATGACCAGCTGGCTGGCCCTCCATGGGCAATCAACAGGCATCTGTTAGTAACTATTAGCAAACCTACCTGTGTCCCCTGATGGAGGGACCACCCCCAACCCTGCCACATCAAGGCCTAGGCAATTTAAAGAGGAAAGCACTTGCGAAGGGAGGTACATGAGACACTGATGCCGCTAAGATGGGGAAGAATAATAAATCCAAAGACAAAGGCCCTGGGAGGTCAAGAAAGAAAAAAACAGAGAAAGAGAGAGACAGAGAGACAGAAGGAAAAGGAAAGAAAGAAAAGAAAGAAAGAGAGAAAAAGAGAAAGAGGAAGGAAGGAAGGAAGGAAGGAAGGAAGGAAGGAAGGAAGGAAGGAAGGAAGGAAATGGAGTCACTGGTAGGTTCTGGAGCAAGAGGTGTCTGAACCTGCTAAATGTTCCAGTTACATTTTGTGGGAAATGCTTCCAGATGATGTGGCTGCTGGGTAGGTCCCACAGTCCTGCCATTTACATGGCAAAGCCTGGCTGTTTATATCATTGCACATATGATGGTATACCTACTATTTAAAAAAAAAATCTATGATTTCTATTTTCATCATCTCTTTTACTTCTTTAAAGATTTGGGTTTAAGTATATGTGAACACATATTAATTTTTCCACCAGTGAATTTTGCTATTAATTCAATTTTTACCTATCCTGTGTATTTTTAAAAATGGATTGTTGTTTTATGTTTGTGATACATCTTCGTACAAAATCTCAAATAAAGAGAATATTTTAAAGCTAAATAAAATGCCCTTCAGCCCCTGAGAGAGATCAGAAAGCTTGGTGAGGACCCAAGAGTAATGCAGACCCCAGGAAAGAATCTTGCCGCAGGGCGCCTGCCCCAACTCACTATGGAAGGCTCAGACAGCCAGAAATACTCTCCCTTCTCAGCTACTCTGGCCCAGCTCTGGTGTGGATTAGCTAGGTGGAATCTTAACCTGCTCTCGTTACCTAGTTTGTCCAATTTATCTTCCCCACCTTGCTTTAGAAGGCAACGAGAGCAGGAGAGCTGGAAGTGTTTTGAAAGGAATCTATATACAGCATAGATCTTCCTACCATCCCCGGCCAGGGGTTCTCAGACCCTAAGCCATCCCAACCAGATGTCACTCTCTCTATCCGACGTTAAACATGGTTGAGAAAAGGAGGTGCCATGGCATTGCTTGAGCCCACTATTAAAATCATCCCTTTTACCTTGCCAAGTGAAGAAGGAACCGGGAGCACAAAGTCAGGTGGCGCCTTGTTTGTCCCCTGGCTACAGAACCCAAGCCAGAACCCCTAACCTCCCACCCAGCTCTTAGGTTCCTGAATGCTGTCCTTAGCAAGTCCCTCCAGGCCTATGCTTCCACATGAACACATCCTTTATGAGTTTCAGCAGCATCCGTGCAAGGTGACCTTCAAACTCCTTAGAGAGACAACCTATCTTCCCACTTTTTGCCTGAAAAAGTCACTTGGTGAGCCCTATTCAGCAAAACACCATTTTTTCATGAGCAGGAAGAAAAATGCCCACGTGTCACACCAGGGCGATCAGTTTGGGCAATGGGAACTAGAAATAGTGTTCCAAATTAGCTCTGCTGCAAGTTCCAGTGTCCCTAGCAGAGGAATCTGGGTTTCTCCCATACCAGAGGAGGAAGCACTGGGCAAAACTGGGCCCAGCAATTTAAAAAGAGTAGGGAGTGGAGAATTCCTAATGACAGCAGGGATTATAATATATATGGTAAAACGCACAGATCGGAAAGGTATGTTTTGATGATTTTGACAAATGTATATATTTGCATCATCTATACCCATCACCCTAGACGGTTCCCTCATGCTCCTTTCCAGTCAGTTCTTCCCTCTCCTCCAGGAGCAGCCACACTTGGTTTCTGTCCTCCCCGTAGCCTAGATTTTGATTTGATGCACTCAAGACCCGAAACTTTGGCCTTAGGTCACCTGGACAAGTGTCCAGGACAATCTCAGCAGCTTACATGTCTTTATGCCCTTAGAGTTGGGAGGGGCCCCCTGATCCCCTAGTGCTTGACTGTGCTGCCCCCATATGCCACTTGACCCCCAGGGCTGCCTACTCCCTGAGCCACAGCCCTCTTCCCGGCCAGAGTTTAGCATCAGTCTCCCAGGTAAGTAAGTGGCGGCAGCACTGGGTGACCCGGATGGGGTCGTGCATGCTTTGTTGATTAGGATCTGGAAATGCAATGCACAGAGCAGCATGACAAGCAGCATGTTGATTTTCCTTAAAGCACTGCACAAAAGGGAGTTAGCCCTTTTGTGTGCTTGCTTTCAGAAACAAATGATTCCATGACTACCTTCTTCCAGGCTTCTAGCCATCAAGATGGCCACAGAGCTGAAATGATTAGTCCGAGGGGAGGGTGGGGATTGACTGTGGGGGTGTTCACAAACCCAGCACTGAGCCCTGTCCTGTGGTCCATGCAACTGAAGGACCCCAAGTGCTATGGGATGACACACTGCCAAATGTCTTGCAGGTGAAAAGCACTTTGTCTATATGCAAAGCTTCGGTGTCTCTGGAATGTACCTTCTGCAGCTCAGTTATTAACCGCTGTATATTTTTTCATTTGGACAAACAGTGCCTGCTGGTAGCATTTTTCAGCTACTTCAGCTGCTTCTCTCAGCTCCGCCAAGGCCTCAGGCTGAGCTGGCTGCAGTTTTCCTGGCACTCTGATCCATTCCCAGCTGACCAGCACTGGGGAGCATCACACATTCACACCCTGAAAAAACCACTTTCTCTGTAACCACATGAGGGGCCAGGCACAGGCAAAATTGCCACTTCCCTGCCTAAGCACTTCCTGCAGAAGCTTGGGAACTGGAGGCAGGAAGGGAGGACAAAGGAGGAGGGCAAGAGCCCTAGAGTAAATGGGCAGAAAGTCTCCCCTGTCTGGGCAAAGCAGATGCCTGAGGAGCTGCCTGCTGGCCAAGGAGGTCATATGCTTCAGGGCAGCTCCTCTCTGAACACAGGTAGCCTGTGCTCTCAGATTTCGCTTTGATCCCTGAACACACTCTGGGAGCCTCAGCTCTTCAGAAGGGAGGCCACTGCTGAGCAAGTGAGATTGCAGGATCTCCTCCCCAAAGCCCCGGGCCAGGCATCAAGCGGTGCCTGCAGCCTGCATGATTAACCGCCTTCCAGCCGGAGCTCACACGCACCCAGGAGGTCACAGAGCAGTGGGTGGATTGCAGCTGCCTGAGCTGCTTCCCAAGCCGTCCCCAGCCCTCGTGACCGCCATCTTGAGCAGCTGAACTGGCATTTGGTACATGCGGGGGCGCAGCAGCGGGGAAAGTGGACAAAACTGCCAGGCAGCACCCCGGATTGCTGAGAGGTTGGGGACGATCTCAGGAGTGGCCCCTCTGCCGACCAGCTGCATCACCACCCCTGAATTCCTGGCAAATGGAAGCTGTGGCGAGAGGGGGAGGGGCGGCCAATCGCAGGCTGGCCACAGGTCCTTGGAGTCAGAGCTGTGAGGCTGAGCTCCAGGACTCCAGCAGGAAGAGATTAATTAGCTCCTCCAAGCCCAGCCAGGCCCTTTCTGTAGAGCTAGCAGAGGTGAAGGGTGGGGGTGCCCGAGGGCCAAATTCACCTAGAACAGATAGACGCACAGTCCTGCCTCAGCCCTCAGCCCCCTCTCCAGCTAAAATGACCTCACTAATGAGAATGCAGCCGTAATGAGGGCTTGGGGCAAACCTTCCTTCTTTGTCTCTGGGCTTTAACATACACACCGCCAACAGACTCTTACTCAGGCAGTTTAGAGATTTTCTTTTCATATCTGCCAGCTAAACCAGAGCCCCAAATACCATACATAGCAACTCCAAACATGTATATTTGGGTTCACGATGTGTAAGAGTGGCCCCGGTGCAGGAGGGCTGGAGGAGGAGGAGGAGGAGCCGATACATCAGGTGTGTTATTACTGAGGCATAAGAAGCCCCCAGGAAGGAAGAGGAATTCCTTAGTGCCTTTCACATGAGCAGGGATGGCCACGGACGATGGGAGAGGGCCACTCATACCAGGAGGCCTCTAGACCCACCTTTTCCCGGAAAGGACCCCATACACACTCCCATGCTGCCTGCCTTCAGGCCTGCGGTGAGAAGTCACACTCCAGGGTGAATCAAGTAGATGGCCAATACCGCTCGCTCTGTGTAAGGAAGGGCACTTGGAAACAGTGACCGCTCCGTGTGTGCCGTGGAATCCAGGCTGGAAGGCCAGCCTCCACCTTCTGAGAGCCACTAGGGTGCGCTAGAAAAAGGCATCACCATCCTCCTCAGTGATTCTCAAAGACTGATATAGCAACCCTCTAGGAGTTGAAAAAAAAAGCTGATTAAAAACTCCTTAGGCTGGTATTGCGCCCTGCCGCCAGCTCAGTTTAGTGTATTTGAAGATTCAGATAAGGTTGTTGATGGGGAGATTGCGTGTGTGTGTTAACAGAGTGGGAAAATGAAAATTTTTTGGTTACATTTGTGAAAATGGAGGGAAAAAAAAGGAGGAAAAGTGAGAGGTACAGACAGATTTCTGACAACTCCCAAGAACAATTCAGTTCCTGGACAAGCCCCACTCACGGCACCAGAGTGCTCAGCCAGCCTGGCCACATCCCTCCGTGGAGATGTAAGCCAGCGACACATTGTTCCTCATCCAGCTAATGCCAAGCCTGTGCTATCCGTTTATTAGATATACCCATCATCCATCACGTCATTAATCAGCAGATTTATTGAGTACCCCACCAGGCTTCACAAACCTGGTCAATTGTTTTTAATTACATCCAGTTTACACCTAGGCAAGCCCAGTAAACAAGATGAGCCCCCCACACCCCACTTGGAAACAAACATGAGGAATTGCTGGCCCTTGCAATCTCCCTACCAAACCCTGCAGCCCTGGCTGAGGGGGGATCATCTGCGACCCTTGCAGATAGGGATGACGTCACTGACCTGCTGTCAATAACAGGATGGGTGTTCAGCGTTTTCCCAGATGCAGGGATCAATCTGCGTGGGTCCAGCCACATACTCCTCGGGACCCCTGTCCCACAGTGTGGATTTCTAAAGAGTGAGCCAAGGAAGGACACAGACTGTGTCAGGGAAGTGAGCAGGGCCCCTGAGCCGCACTCTTGCGCCTCATCCCTCCTCCTGGTGCCCGGTTCGCAATCCCTCCCAGATCCCAGGCTCCCCAAGTACCTCTCTAGGGTCTTTGACAGCTGAAGCCTTCATGGACTTCTACGCCTCTTGCACTGGATCTCATGGTCTAGTTTATCGTTTTAGTGCTAGTGAAGAGCCGCCACAAAGGTTGTAAGTAAAGAGCTTGTAGGCTTCCTGGTGTGGAGTCATCAGACTCCGTCTTTGGGTACCACAGGTAGAGAGTCAGGTCAAGAACAGGAGACAAGAGGAGCACACTGCCTGGGACCACCAGTGGCTCTGAGGCCCAGCAAATGCCCCTGGCCCTGTCCTGGTCCCAGAATGCATCACCGAGGGGGTCCCGAGGCCTGTGTGTCTGTCCTGCATGTTGAGGAGGATTCACAGCTGCAATCTATTTACATGAACCCACCCTCCCTCCCTAACCTTGCTACGCTCTAATCCACCACTTCCTCCCCCGACTTGAATACAGTCAAGTTCAGGAGCAGCCCACAGGCTTGAAGAGAATCTCTCCCTGAGTTTAAATGCCTGGTTTCAGGGAAGGAACCCCTCCCCCCGCTAAAGGTACTGGCAACAGCACTCCGTCCCTTCACCTGCGGTGCTGGCCACTGTCCCCAGGTAGGGCTCCTGTACCTAGAGACCCTGTACCGAGACGGCCAGTCAGGTTGGTTAGTCCTTTGGTCTCTGTGGCGCGTACAACAATTAATTCGCCTGTCTGGCTCTCTCTGTCCCTCTGTGTGTGCGCGCCTGTGCGTGCCTCTGTCGGCTGTCTCTCTGCAGGGAAAGTCGCTGGCGGGCAAGCGCCTCACCGGCCTGATGCAGTCCTCCTGACGGTCCCCGGCGCCGGGCAGGGGCCCGGGCCTGCAGAGCTCGTGGGCAGGCGGCGGCGCTCCACATCCGCGGACAGAGTTTCCTTGCACGGAGATCTGGTCACTGTGAAGGAGAAAGAGTGAGGGCCGTGGAGGGCAGAGGTGGGGACGCTCGGTGGGTGAACAGGGAGACCCGAAGGAAAGCGTCCACGGAGCCCGGGCCGGCCAGGAGAGGCCCCTGTTTACAACCTCATCCTTGTACAGTCGTGGGCCAGCGCTCCCGGTCAGGGGAGAGCGGCTCATGGGGTTCCCGGCCAACCGCACTTGAGCTGATATCCTTGATATCCTCACTCCTCCAACTGTGGGGCTCATGCCTCGCGGCAAACACAGAAGGGACAGCGGACCTTGGGGACATCAGTATTACGCATCGCCTCCCTGCTCTCTCCCCGGGGCACCCGCTTGGGCACCATAGGTATGGCCACTGTGGCCCATCATCGCCTGCCTCTCCCACTCCCTGTGGCCGCCCAGGCGTAAGGGGCCAGCGCCAGGCACCACGCTCACGTACAGTGTCCCAGTCTCATCCTCAGCACTAAGGCAACCTCACCTCAAGTCCCCGAGGAGCTCTCCCTGGGCACGACGGCTGCCCCTCAGCCCCGTCAAGGGTCTCAAAGGTCCAACGCCTGCGGAGCCACTGATTCTCGTGAAAGACTGTCTGTCCAACATCCATGGGGGTTCTGAGGACCGTCTTTTAAAAAATCATTTCCTCTATCCTGTTTTTGCCCCTTGCTGGTTTTCCTCAAAATAAATACGGCCACAGACTTGGGAGCTATTAGGGCTCTCCCCTGCACAGCCCCAGGTGGAGGATGGGAGGGTATCCAGCCCAGGAGGTGGCCGGGTTGCAGGAGTGACAGCCCCTACATGAAGGCATCCTGCCAAGCACAGTCAGACCCTTGCGGGGTCAGGCCTCAGCCCTGCCTGAAGCTGAGGCAAAGTACAGTTGGGCAGGTCCATGCCAGAGCCACATCATTCCCTTCCCAGGCTGGATGTGAGGGCCCAGCCAAAGAACCCCGCTAAACAAAGCCAGTTGCCTAAGAGAAAGCAAAAGCTGCAGAAACCTACAAAAGACACCCCGTATCCCCTTGCGTGTGTGTCACAATGCCTCTTTGCCAACCGAGCTGTGAGGTCGTGTATGTAAAGCACCAAGTCAGAAGCCGGACGTGTAGTAGATGCTTAGCAAGTGGTAGCGAATACTGTCATTGTCACTGTTATTGTGATACCTGCAAGCCCTCGGAAACAGCTGTACTAAGCAACTGGTTTTCTAATTCAGACACCCCCACACACACCTGCTATGATGATCCACCTTTGATCTATTTTTGGGCACCGGCGAGATAAGTCTCCCTTTCGGGTGTATAAACAGACACAAGGAAACAAGTGACCCCTGGTGTTTCTTTACGCAAGAGGCAGATTCACCAGCTGGTGACTGAAAGCTCAAACGCTTGTTTAGAGTCCTGGCCTCCTGGTTGCTTCCCTGTGACCCAGCTTTCCAGCTCCCACCTCTGAGTCCTTCCTGTGTCTGCTTCCACCCAGCCCTATCCCCAGGCCCCGGCCGCCTGTCCCCACATTGGAGCCACCTGGGCAGTAGGAGTCCTCATTATGGTTTGTCCTTATAGATTTTTGACCACTGCACCTCCACTGTCCCCCCTGGCGGTAGTTCCCCTCTCTTTCAGATATAGTGCAAATCACAGAGATGATGTGTTGGGTTCTCCAAATATCTCCAAAGGTGGCAATATAGAGCCAGGTCCCCGGTGGACTCCCGTGCGCTCGGCACAAAGCCTGGCAGTTTGCAGATACTTGGTCGTCACTTGATGAGCAAATGAATGTAATGAGCCCTACCCCCCAGCCGTGGGGTCTTCCAATTGCTCTTCTCCTCGTATCACCTTTTAATCTCCTTCTCGGTCATGCACGCCTCCTGCTTCAGAACGAATCATAGTCCAAGTTCATCTGCACCCAGCTTTGCCCAAGGAAAGCTCTTTTCTACCCAGGGTCCCTGGCTGTGCTGCCACCGAGGCAGCGGTAGACAAGGGTGTCATCAAACAACCTCACCTCCGAGCCCTCGGTTATCCAGGGCAAGAGACCTGGCTGCCTCCTGCCCCTCCCGTGGGCTTTAGGGGGCATGCTAAGCCAGGCTGTAGACAGGGGAGGGGTGGCTCCCTGGCCACGACTTGTGTGCCCCTCTCACCCCCAAATTCTTGGCTGCTGTTCCTGACCCGTGCTGGCCTGAGAACTGGCCTCATTCTGGAGCCAGGTGGACTGTGGCCCTGAGATCAGGTGGAAGGCTTCCAAACACCTCTGGGGACATCCGAAGGGGGCGGAGGGCCAGTAGGCTCAGTAGAGGTAAGGACACTTCGGGTCGACTCAAACCCAGGGCAGCAAGCTTCCCACCCTCACCCCATAACAGAGGCAGGCTGCGTCCTGTGACTACCACAACATGCTCCTCAGTAGCTCGGCGAGGGCTCGCAAGAAGGAAGTGGAACAAGTTCTCTCCAACCAAGCGGACCACTCCAAGATCAGGCTACCGTGCAGACCTCGTAATGGAAAGATTTAGAAAATTAGGTCTTGGCCAGGTTCCGAGCAGCTTGATCTAGACAGCCAAACACCCAGGCTGGATAAGAGGTTTGAAGATAGTTCTTTAGCAAAACAGACCTCCCTGCCCTGCTCTGCCCTCTAGCAGCCACCTGAGGTCCCCTGAGCGGGTATCTCCCTGGGTCTGAAACTTCTCACCCTGAGGGTTCACGAGGAAGATATCATTTTGCAGCCCCACAGCCGAAGCATCAGGGCAGTCTTTACAAGTGGCCTCCAACCCATCCGTGCTAACGCACAAGGCACCAGGCGCGGAGCATGTGACTGAGATAACCTTCCCCTGCGTGGGGAAGGTAAACTGGTAGGTTGGGTGTATAAATGTCTGGCAGCAGCCAGACAACCTGACCCATGCAGCTAGAGCTCTCTGGGCTGCGGAGAAGCATCCTGCCCTTCCAGACAGCAGTGCAGCAGCTTTGTTCTCCTGAGAAGCTACTGCTGTACCCTAGAAACAAGGAGACACAGCTGCCAGGGCAACTGACAGGGCCCAAGTCCGGCTCCCCGCTGTGGTGGCCAGGGCCGGGCCAGCATCCTGAAAGGGCCTCCTGTGACTCTGAGTTGCTGTTCAGACTCGCTCACGGGGCCATGCTCTGAGGGTTCTTCCCTGCAGGCTTCCTGGCATGTTCAAACTACCTCACCAACAGAACACCGAGCCAGGAGCCTGCCCCGCTTCCTGATTGCGGAACTTGATGTCTTTCCCTAGAAAAGCATCCCTCGAATTCTACCCCCAAATACCCGGGCTTCAAAAGCCGCCACCAGGAAGCCTTCCCAGAAAGTAGAAAGGATTGAGGGCTGTTGGTCTCTAGGCCTTGCGGGATGCAGTGGAGGGAGATGTTCCAGCAGGTTCCAGGAGCTAGGAAGCCCTGGGGTGGAGGGAGATAAGTGTCACGAGCCTCTAAAAGAATTTGGCTAAGGTGACTATGCAGCGAGGACCACGGACTAGTCAAACAGTGGCCAAATAAATCACTAATAACTCACCACGGGACCCTCCGAAGAGAGGCCTGTGCTTGTGTAACCATGGCAACAGCAGATGCCAGCAACCTACTCATTAGTGCCACCCAGTGATAAGTCATCCCCTGGGCAAGACCCAGGGGCCATAAAGTAGCAAAGTAGCAAATGTAGCAATAAGGGCTCCAGGGCCCTAAAGGGGCAGGGTCCAAATGACTGGGGCTCAGCCCTCTCCTCAGCCCTAGTGAGGGCTCAGAGCCAGCTACTGTCAGCTGTCTGTGGAGGGGAGGCCCTGCTCACAGTGAGGGCTCCTGTCCTGTATTCTATGCCCACTCACCGCATGATCACAGACACGTTGGAATGGCCTCCTCATAGTGCATGTGGTTCTCATTAGTTTATTTTTCTGGAATTTGGGGATTGGACCCCAGAACCAAACATGCTGGTAACAGTCTAAAAATAAATGACTTGAACCCACTACTGTCCAGCTAAGTCTGTGTGACTTCTTGGTTTGGGGGTTTACTGGGCAGGATTTATTCTAGAAAATAAAGCCTACCACTGCTCCCTGCTTCCAACCATGCCCCATTCTCTCTCTCTCTCTCTCTCTCTCTCTCTCTCTCTCTCTCTCACACACACACACACACACACACACACACACACCTGCTTCCCTCTCATTTACAAGGATGCTAGGCAGCTCAGAAAATCCAGATCGTGCTGGTAGGTTGGGACAGCAGTATCATCAAAAGGCTGAAGTCCTTGACTTTGCCAGGGTCTCCTTGGCTGGGTGGTCTCCATGCCCCACTGCTCGGGTGCAGATATCCCAGGGTACTCTGACACTCTTCAGAAGAAGGTCCCAGGATCAAAGCCCGCAGCATACAGCCCTGCTCCTTATGGGGAGTCTTGGTTTCCTGAGCGACAGACAATCTCATTTCCTGCGAACACCAAAGCAGCAGGACTCCAAGAGCCTGAGAGTCAGACTGACAAGAGGAGGAAGAGAACAGAGTGAAAAGGACCCTCTATTGCTAAGGCTGGCACCTAGCAGCAAGCTTCAGTGACAGAAATTTTGCTCTCAAAGGTAGAAATGATTTCAGAGGCATGGAAATGGGGCCTCGGTCACATCTGGATGGAAACCAACTTGTCTCTCATCTCCAAGCAGAATCCTTAAGTGAAATGTCCTAATCTACAAGGTCAAGATCAAGGTTATGCCTGCCCCCAGCCTGGTCCAGCGTGTGTCCCACTGACAGTTGCCGGCCCACTCACAGAAGAGCCGTGCGTCCCTGTCCTCCTCAACCCCAGCCATCACCTCCAGGGAGCCTGGAGCTCTTCCTGTTCAGCTGGGCCACCTGGCTTATTTCCAGAATCTTTGTTTACCAAGCTGTTGCTGTGCATGCACACGATCCTACCAAGGACAGAGATCTGCTTTCAGATCCAGGATAGGGATGGAGATTTTGGGCGACCAGCAATAACCCAAGAGCTCCGCCCACCCAAGAGACTCCGGGGGCCACCTGGACTGCTTCTTTGCCCCCTACACCCTGTTGGAGACTTTTGGCCTAATGGGCATGAGGTCATCCTTTCCCTGGTGCCAGCTTCCAGGTATTTATTGGTCCCAGTTTTCTAGGGACCACTGGGGCTTTGATAGGTATCCCTGCCCTTGGCAAGTGGCAACCTCCACACGCAGGCAACCCTCACACAAGCACACCCCATCCTGGCCCACAGGGCTCTGCCCAGCCCCCTTTCCTCAGCAGAAGCCTCAGAGGACCTCCTGTCTCTCCTCAGCAGGGCTGCCTGCATGTGCTCCTGGGATCCCTTCCCTGCACCCAGTGCGACAGTACCTGTGATAGGGGTCACAGAATGTCTGAGGCCCCACACACCAAGGCCTAGGCCTCTGGTCAAGGAGAGGCTGCAGCGTCTGGTTTACTTTAAAGGGGCCTGGGGTGCGGGCCGCAGTCGGCGTGAGCTCCATCCGGAGCAGAGCTCTTCATCTGGTGCGCTCCAGCTCTGTCCTCCTCGGGCCCCGGAGCTGCCTGGCCAGGTCTGGCTTATTTCAGCCAACAAAACAGAGAAACTGCTGTAGCGGCAGCGGCTGAGCCATACACCCTCAGCCTGTTTGTCTCTTAATTTCTAAAGCAGGAACAGAAATTCCAAAACGTTATGATGGCTGTGAATTAATGCAGAAGGTTTGCCTGTCGCTGGCACCCCGTAAGGGCTCCTGAAACAGGGGCTGGTGTTAGCTAGTGCTGCTCCTGAGATAGACATCAGGAGGTAGACTGGATCTGCAGAGCCCTGCCGGGCAGACAGCACGCGCACACACACACACATGCACACACACGCACACACTGTGGCCTGGCTGAAGCGTCGGCCTTCAATCAACCTGGAGTCTATAGACTCCCGTGGTCTGTGCGGGCAGCAGCCCCTCCCTGCCTGCGACAAGCCCCTTGCTCTCGTTTCCCCAGCAAGGGCCTGATTCCCTCTCTGAGGCACGTGGGCGCCCTCAATCAATAGCCCCGCAGGGCTCCTTCTTCAGACCCCAGTGGCAGTAGAAACAGTAGAGATCTACATTTCCCATCTAGATTCCCATTTGTCGCACAGGCCTGGTAATTATCTCATGGGGATCTGGATGCTGAGTTCTTGTCCAGAACTATTCGGTTTCAAGCCTGAGGTGCAGACCTTGGAACAGGTTGAGAGACTGACCAGGCCCTGTGCGGAGAATGTCCAGCATCCCTGCAGATACACATGGACCTGCACAGAAGGACAGGACTCGTCCCTGAAACAGTTGGCCAAGCAAACAAAGCCTGTTTATCCTCTCTCTTCCGTCACATCACAAGGCTGTTTTGAATCAGCAAGGGATAGGAGGATCAAGGAGACAGAATTAAAAACCTGAGATATGTCTTCCTGCTGGTGTCCCCCATGATACCAGCACTGAGAGGGACTTTCACGATTATCTGGTCCAACTCTGTGTGGTGGGGTGGGGGGGATTTGTTGTTTATCTGGCTATATACAGTAGAATTCACATTTTCTTTTTGTTTTTGTTTTTGTTTTTCCAGTAGCAGGAATCGAACTCACAACCTTGCACTTGCCAGGCAGGTGCTGTGCTGCTGAGCTAAATCCCCAGCCCCTAGAATTCACATTTGTATATAGAGTGTTATCAATTTTGACAAACTTATACAATGATATAACCACCAAAATCATGCCAGAGAATGAGTCCATCACCCCAAAATGTTCCCTCGTGCCCCTTTACTGTTAATCCCTCCCTTATCCCTCTGTTCCTGGCAGCTATTGATCCATTTTTCTGACCTATAGTTTTGCCTTTTTTAGAAAGCCACAGAAAGGGAATCGTATAGTAGGTGACCTTTGAGTTGGGTTTCTCTCGCTCAGATTGGGGCACGTTGCAGCACATGCATAGGTAGTGCGTTCCTCGACATTTTCCTTTTATCCAGAAAGAAACTGAGGCCCAGGCAGGGAACAGCAGAGGGGCTGGAGGATTATGGCTTAGAGGATAGGTCTTAGCTGCTGTGTAGCCCCTCAGGCCCGCTGGCCACATTTCTTCTGCAAAATGCCATCCTTTTAATCCCTGGTCAACTGTGAGCCCCTGCTGGAGAAAGCGTGTGATCATAGAACCTGAAGGTTGAAGAGAATGAGTCCTTTATTCATCTAGCAGGAACCTTTTCCTTAAAACAAAGGGGAGCAATGGTGCATATTACAGTGAACACAGGGCAGGGGAGGATTACTATAAAGGGACACAAAGGAATGTTTCAGGATGACAGAGTTATTTTCTATCTAAATTTCGGGTGGTGGTCACACTGTATAAGCCGTGGTGCTGACCAGAGAGAGGCATTATTTACGCAGCAGGCGATGCCTGGGGAGACACTCGGTTGGTGGACCCATACCAGTAACTCCAGAGTTCTTCCTTCTACGAACAGACCGATGCAGAATAAAGAAGTGTGAGTTCTGATTGGAAGCAAAGAGCCAGAGCAGAATTCAGACACAGAGGGGTCCAGGTAAGGCTCCATCCATAAAAACCAGGCCAAGGAGGGGAGATGGCCTGGGGTTCTGTCACGGATCTCAAAATCCAAATAAATGGAGTTTTTAAAGCACCATAATGAATTCATGAATTTAGATACACTGGAGGTATTTCAATTCATCACATTCATTATCATTATTGATATCCAATATGCCCCGCCATTGACTTGGGAGAGCCTAAGTCCTTTAGACACGGCCTCAAGAGTATTTCACCATTCACTGCTATCTGGATGACAAGATGACCCAGAACTGTCTAGTACGTCTCTTGTACCGTGTTTGAGTTCCAAGTGAGTGAAAGTCTATGGGTGCTTTGCTATAAAATCATGGGGTTCTGTGGTGGAATGGGTCTATGAACTGAGTCTCCCACGCCTCCAGAAGAGGAGAACTGAAAGTTCCTTAACAGTCAAGCAGCTCAGAGCCTTCGCTCTACAGAACAGAAATAGAGGTCCAGAAGCATCAAGTGATGTGCGTAAGGTTAAACATGGATATGGTTTGTCTCTTGTGCTACTCCTCAGCCTTCCTGTCTTCACGTGTCCTCATGCAGTAGTCAGGCCCTTCCTGTCAGGCACCATCCCAGCCTCTGCTATGTGTGCCATACAATGAATATACGAAATAGAAAACCTCCAATTTCAAAACTTATGATGAAGCTACAGTAGTAGAGACAGTGTGGTATCGGTATGAGGACAGACATAAAGATTGATGGAATCGAACTGAGAGCCTGGAGATAAAATCAAACATGAATGGTCAATTGGCTTTTAACAAGAGTTCCAAAATAGTTCAATGAGGAAAAACAATACTCTTTCAGCAATGCTGCTAGAACAATTAAATAAAATTGAAGCTGAAGAATGAAATTCAATCTTACATCACACCATACACAAAAATCAATTCAAAGTAGATCAAAAACCTCATACTGTACTCCTTTATCTTAGAAGAAGATAAAGGAGTAAATTTTCACGATCTTGTGTTAGGTAATAGTTTCTCATATAAAATACCAAGACTATAAGCAATAAAAGAAAAAAATAAATTTGACTTGATCAAAATTAAAAACTGTTGTGCTTCAAAGACACCAAACATGTATGCATGTATAGGATATATAGACAACTCTTAAAACTCAATAATAAAAATATAAATAATGCAATTAAGATTAAGGACAAAGAATCTGTGTAGATTTATCTCCAAAGAAGATATACAAGTGAACAAGAAGCACAGTAAAAGATACTCGACATCATTAGCCATTGGAGAATTACAAATCAAAACCACAATGAGATACCGCTGTGATGGTAAGACTGACTGTGCCAATGTGGTTGGACCGGGAGCCATCCAGAGAGGTGGTGGGGCATGTTTCTGGGTGTGTCTGGGGGTGCTGTGGGAGTGTGACTGTGAATGCTATACCTAGAACCTCACCCCTTCCTCTCAGGCACTGTTCTCCTGGTCTGCTTCCCCAAAGCCATGAACTAAGTAGCTC